CTGAGACAGTTTGTCTTGATGTTCGTTGTAACCACCCCGTGCCTCCCATCCTCTCTGATAATTTCATACATATGTATAATATGTTCCCATTACTCCAGCTCCTCCCTCTCCTGTCTCCTCTCACCCTTGTCAGGCATGTGTGCACACACACGCACGCACGCACGCACGCATACACCCCGCTTCCGTATAAACCTCTTTCTCGTATTCATGTCTTTTTGTTTTAAAACCCACTGAGTTTAGCTAGAGCTATGTGTGTGGTTATGGGTCTGGTCCTGTCCCCTGGTGCTCAGTGGGTTCCCTCACAGTCACATGACTGAAAACAGCTACTAGCAGCCCTCTGACAGACCTATGGTAGCCACTAGTCCAGCAGGAAGAGTCAGGGCCCGTGAGACCCTCTCCCATCCGTGACTGACTAATACTAGGCTCGCTCATTTTGTGCAGGCTCAGTGGAGGCGACCTCAGCTGCTGTGGGGTCATGGGTGTCCTGGCTGTGCCGTGCCCAGAAGATAGCATGTCATAGTCCTTTCCCCTATTTCCCTATCTTAAGTCCTCCCTCCCTTCTCTCTTTTCCCTTTAGAATTCCTTTTCTTTATGTTTTGACAGTTTCACATATGCATACCTTATATTCCTTCATGTTTTATCTCCTCCCTTTTCAAAACATTGAGTTTAATTAACGCTTCACGCTGGAGTGTTCCCTTGATCGCGTGCGGATAGCCACAACTGCAGCCTGTACAATAGTTACGTCACACCTAGAAGATCGGATTCCCAGGACTTTCCACTATCTTCTGGCCCTTGTGCTTGTTCCGTCTCCTTTTATTTGAGAAGCATTGGTATTAGTTATTTGAAGGTATGCTCAGTTTTACAAGTGTTTCAATCTGGGCCTGAGCTTCTTTTAGTCGTGAGATATTAAATTACTCTTTTCAACGGCTTGTTACAGATTTTATTTGCATTATTGATCTCATCTTGGCTCAATTTTAGTAGGCCATACACTGTTAATCCCACTGGTCAAGAATAAAACCCACTACTACACTTTTTAATCAAATTTGAAGCACACTTTAATTAAATACTGGCCAGGAAGGATGGACTCTCTGGCTAGGTCCATCTCTGGGTTCCCAGGAAAAAAAAATGGTTCCAAGTCATGTTTTGCAGAGGCTTTAGAAAGGTAAACCCCACACACAGTTCACCGCATGTCCCATCAGGTCCAATCAGGTGCAAGCATACTTCCTGACATACTTCCTGCCTCTGTACCTTCTGCCCACACTCAATCAGGGGCAATCATGCATCCTGATGTATTTCTTGCCCACATACCTCCTACTTACATGTAACCAAGCACATCTGGTACAAGCATAGGACAAACAGAAATTTATTCTAAATTGTCTTACCTGCAAAACAGAACCTGTCACTAACAAGGTATGTTCTTCCTGTTTTGGTCTCCTATTAACTTGCAAGGTGTTTTAATAGTTCCTGTTGCAGTTTTGTTCTCATAATATGTCTAGAAAAAGGATCAATCCATATCTTTTACCAATTCAGTAGAATATATGTCTTTAAGGTAAGGTATGATCTAATGATTTTTCTTTTTTTCTTTTTTTAAACTTTATTTCATGCACATTGGTATAATGATGTCAGATTCTCTTTAACTGGAGCTACAGACAACTGCGAGCTGCCATGTGGGTGCTAGGAATTGAACCCGGGTCCTCTGGAGGAGCAGTCAGTGCTCTTAACCACTGAGCCATCTCACCAGCCCCTCTAATGATTTTTCTATGTTGTATTGATATCTGTTGTAATTGTTTTCTTCTCCAAATTTTGTTAATTTGGATCTTTGGTGTGGGACATCTTCTGTATATGTGTTGCTTTTATTGGTTAATGAATAAAGAAGCTGGTTTGACCTGGGCAGAATAGAGCTAGGTGGGGTGTGGAGGGGGATGGGGGTCAGGTAGTGGTTAGGGAGGAAACTAAATTGAATGCTGGGAGAAAGAAGGCAGGCGGAGTTGCAAGATGCCTTGGAGCCGCCAGAGGAGAAAGATTCAAGCCACTAGCCAGAACCTTGCTTTTAGGCCATGAGCCTCCTGGCAAAATACGAAATAATAGAAATGGATTAATTTAAGAGATAAGAGTGAGCTAGAAATATGCATAACCTAATAGGCCAAGCAGTGTTGTAAATAATACAGTTTCTGTGTGATTATTTGAGGAGTCTAGGCAGCTGGGAAAACAAGCAACCTCCTATAACAGATCTCTCTCTCTTTTGTTTTGTTTAGCTAAGAATTTTGTCAATCTTGTTTATCTTTTCAAAGAACCAGCTCTCTGTGTCATTGATTCTTTGTATTTTTGTTGTTGTTTCCATTTTATTAATTTTGGGCCTTGATCTTAATGATTTCTTTTCAGCTCCTTATTTGGGTTTAGCTTGCTCTTCTTTCCTTGCTTGACTCATTCAGCTATCCTATGTCCTTTGGTTGAAAAGTTGAGGTCATTAAATCTTTTATTAAATTTTATTTTATTAACATTTTTTCATTTATTTTACATGCCAACCAAAGTCCTCTCCTCCCAGTTTCCGTAGTTTCTTCCTTCCTTCTTTCTTTCCTTTTCTCCCTCCTTCCCCCGAGACAGAGTTTTTCTGTGTAAAAGCCCTAAGTATCCTGAAACTCTCTTTGTAAACCATGCTGATCTCAAACTCACAGAGATCTGCCTCCCAAATGCTGGGGCTAAAGGCGTGTGCCACCACCTAGTTTCTTTCTTTCTTTCTTTCTTTTTTTATTATGTGTACAGTGTTCTGCCTGCCAGTAGAGGACACCAAATTTCATTATAGATGGTTGTGAGCCACCATGTGGATGCTGAGGATTGAACCCAGGACCTCTGGAAGAGCAGCCAGTGCTTTTAACCTTAGAGCCATCTCTCCAGCCCTCGGTGATTAGTCTTTAAGGTTATTGTTAAGGGGTGCATGTCAACTGTCATTTCGCTGCTTTTGCGATACGTGTGTTTGGAGTCCTGCTCCGTGGACTCTGTGTCTTAGCTTCCTTTCGGTTGTCATAAAACACTCTGACCGAAAGCAACCGAGGGGAGGGTGATTTTCATCACATTGGGGAAAGTCAAGGCAGGAACTCTCGCTGAAACCATGGAGGAACACTGTTTGATGGCTCACTTACTGGCTGGTGGATTGGCCTCTTCTACAGCCAAGGGCTACCTGTGTAGAGAATGGGGCAACCCACAACAGGCTGGGCCCTTCCACGTCCATTAAGACCAGACAGCCCCTTACAGACAAACCTGATAAAGACAATTACCTAGCTGAGACCATTCCCTTGCCAGATGACTCGAGGCTGTGTCAAGCTGGCCCTTGAGGATAACTAGGGTGATGTTGTTTTCATAGTGTTAGTTTTTTCTCATCCTGTAGCCTCTTGGTGATGTTTATTACTCTCTTCATTTCCAAGTATTTCTTTCAGTATTTTCTGAGACCTGGATTGGTGGATATAAACCATTATTCCTTTAGCCTGTTTATGTCATGGGAGGGTTTTCTTTCTCATTCAATGACGGCAGAGAATTTTGCTGGGTAGATTAGTCTGGGTTGGCATCCATGGGCTTTTAGGGCTTGAAGTATGTTACTCTTAAACTCTTCTGGATTTTAAAGTTTCCACTGGGGAGTCAGCTGTACTTCGGATGGGCTCGCCTTCGTGTGTGACTGATAGCTTCTCTCTTGAGTCTTCCTGTGTCGTTTCTTTGTTCTGTATAGTTAGTGTTTTAGCTACATGATGTGGGGATTTCTTTTCAGAGTCTATCTGGTTTCTCTGTACCTCTTGTATTTAGTGTTTTAACTACAATATGTGGGGATTTCTTCAGATCCTGTCTGGTTTCTGTGTACCTCTTGTACACCTTCTTCTCTGAGGCTATTGAAGATCTAATCTGTGCTTTTGACCTGGAATCCTTTGTCTTCTATGCCCATAATTCATAGACTTGATCTTTTCATGATGCTTCAAAATTTCTGTATATTCCACTTATGAGTTAAAGATATCATTTTCAGACAAGATCTCCTGAGTAAATTGGGAGCATGGGGACCTTGCGGGAGAGTTGAATGGGGGAGGGGAGAGGCAGGGATATTCTCTAAGCCTTAGTGCTGATATTATATATTGATCAAGTTTACAGTATCAGGTTTCTTCCTTTTAAGTGGGCCTCTCAGATCTAATCATGGGTAGCTTATCTCCACAATAGTGCAACTATTGTACTGGGGCCACATCCTGCCTGACAGATTGGTATTGTGAGTTGATAGGGCTCAAAGCTGGGTAGGACCACTCTCCCCTTCCCCGGCTCTCTCCCCATCCCCTCTGAAACTATGAAGGCTAGTGGGTAGGGAGGGGGCTTCAGACTCAGGTTAGGTTGCTTTCTCTTTATTATGCAACCAAGATGTGCGGTGTCTTCAGCACACCATGGCCATGGAAACTCTGAAAAAGAAGCATTTGACTGGAGGCTGGCTTACCGTTCAGAGGTTCAATCCATTATCCTGGTGGGGAGCATGGCAGTGTGCAGGCAGACAGGTGCTGGAGAAGCAGCTGAGAGTTCTAATCCCGACCCACAGGTAGGGAGAGAGAGAGAGAGAGTCACTGGGACTAGCTAGGGTTTTGAAAACTCAAAGTCCACTCTAGTGACACACTTCCTCCAACAAGGCCACACCTGTTCCAATCATCCTTTAAAATAGTGCCTCTTCCTGGTGACCAAGTATTCAAATCTGTGAGCCTGTGGGGGCCATTCACATTCAAACCGGCACAGTCAGGGAGGCTTCCTTGCTGCCTTGGCAATGACCTCACCTGCTTCTGGTACCTTTAGGGTATTTACAGTTGCTCTCTAGGGAAACCTGTGTGTGTACATAAGTATCAGTCATTAGTTAGTACACGTACATGGAATTCACTTTGTCTTTATTGACCACAGTAGTAGAATCAGAGCACTTCCAGCAGACAGGATGATCAGAGACAGTGCTAGACAAGCCCCCTCAGGCCCACCAGCCGCCGCTTCCCTCATGCTGCCTTGCCTCGCCCTCTCCATCTGCTTCACGGGCCGGGCCGTTCCTGGCAAGCGCAGTGGCAGCACTCCACCCTAGCGCCCTCCCCTCCGCTGGTTCTCGGCTCCCAACCACTTGGTAAGCCTTCCAGCTGCCACCTCTGCTGCCCATAACCGTAGACGTGGGATTCCAGTACAGAAGCAGTGGTCTCTAAACCTGAGTCATACGCAGTACTCTTAACAGAGGAAACCAGAGTTCTGGAGTTGATGTAATTTTGCCTATCACGGTAAACATGAACATTATTTTATATAAACACACAGAACATCAGCCCCACATAAAATCATGCAAGCTGCACCCTTCAACAGCTCTTATGTAACCCACACCCCAGTATGTATAGAAATGAACAACCAAGGCCCCCAAAACAGCCCAGCCTCGTCAGCACCTCCATGAGAGCTATTCCGCTGTTTTCTGAATCTAAGCTCTGTGAAGATGCCACCCTGAAGGGACGATGTCCGTGTTTACTGGGACTTCACCAGAGAATGACACCTGCTGGTGTTTCTAAGTGAAGTAGCCCTGCTCTATTCTTTAGAATCAACTGAATTAAAGAAGTGGGGGTTTGGATGCGGTGCCTAGGCTGATCTTGAACTAGGATCACACAATCCTTTTGCCTCAGACTCCCCAGTATCTGGGAGAACCTGAATCCCTTAGTACTTTTCAAAGATGAGTACTATGTGTTAGGAATATTTCTTAATATTAGCTCCCTGCTGATGCAAAAATTCCCAATCAAGCCAAATCAAAACAAGCCAAATTAAGAAATATCCAGGTTTAATGGGACATCTGCGCTCTCGGGTGGCCCCGAGGGGGAACCAGGAAGCCGCAGAAACGCGACCCCGGGGAAGAAGAAAGGGAGACCACCCCCAGGGAGGGGTCAGGACCTGGCCTGCTGGGATTTGGAGTCTAGACCAGGCCTGGGGGCTGGGATAGATGCGAGGGGCAGGCGCCTACGCTCCCAACTTGACACTATGTGGTCCCGAAATCTCCGGAAATAGTTTGGGAGATGTTTTTTACTCGTGATGTGAACATGTTCACATTGTTTTTTAAGATTTTCCTCAGAATAAAGCTGAAATTGTCACAGAGACTGTGTGGCCTTCTCTGGGTGTTTGTGGACCCCCATCTGTACACTTGTGTACACAGGCTTTCCCTGTGGAGACAGCTTTGGCTGCTTTCTGCTGGGCCTGTCTTTGTTACTCTCAATACCCCAGGGAGCTGAGGTCCCCTGTGAAGCACAGGCCTGTTTTTGTTTTGCATTTCCTGGGAGGGGCTGGGTCTACACACCCTGCCCAAGTGAACCCCCCAAACAAAGGGCGTGCTCAAGGGTGGCTCCTGGTAGAGCAAGCAGTTTGTCTGTGGCAATCTCCCAGTGATGGGGGTGATATGGGAGGGGCCACAACTCCTCAGCTGTTCCTGGCTGCTCACAGTGACTCCACCTGAGGAAAAGAAAAAAACAGCAGTTTAGCCCTTGAAAGAAACTAGCTACTCAAAGGACTGGCAACCGACGATGTACTCAATGAAAGCACCTGCTTTGGGATTGTAACAGGAAATAGGATTTCAGAGATGCCACAAGAGTCTGGTGAAGTATCAGGCCCTATACTTCTTCCGCGTCTCAGTTCCAAACTGACGACGGGGCCACCGGTGGGAACCAAGGCCGATGACTCTGGGCAAGCGTCCAGGAGGTGCTTATGCGCGCCTGCTTCAGGCAAGACTCCATACTCCTGGGTTCAGTTCTCACCGGTAGAGACCTGGTCATGGAGGAGAAGGGGACGTGAGTGATAAGGTTTCTAAACCCTGATAAAAGGTTTCTTCACCGACGCAGTAGGCAAGATTAAACCCAGTTAAAAAGTAAAAGGTTTATTTGGGCAAAGCATGCCCGGATGACCCTCCAGGTCTCAGTGATTGAGGCGGGGAAGGGAGCAGGAGAAAAATCACCCGACCAGTCTAATGTAGAGGGCTTAAACACCCTGTAGGTGCAGGCAATGGCTCGTCCTCCACAGGCTGGGTTTGTGCCCAATTACAACGCTTTTAGGTGGGGGTTGCGGAGCTGGTCGCTTCAGGAGAGGAACCTCGGCTTGGTGGTTTTTCTGAGAGGGCGGGGTTTGGAGAGGCAGGAATGGGGCTTTCTCAGCTGTAAGTTCCAGCTGAATAACAAGACCTCCTTAACCCTGAACCCAGCAACCTTCTTTGTAACTATGCCATCGTTTATGGCTTTATCGTCTCGATAAAACACATCTCTTTAGGGGCCCCTACGTGGTTTTTTAGGGGAAAGAGAGGGGTGCAGAGTTCAGTAGGTAGCAGAGGCATGCCAGATGATCTTCGAGGTCTTGGAATTCGGAAAGATTAATCCATCTGTGAGGACTGGTGTTTTACTGCAAGGCTGAGAAAGTCCTGCACCCCTGGAGTTCTATATTCTCACGTGGGTGTACGCTTCTGGGGAGGAAGGCACTGTATGTGTTATTCCTTTGCGGTGCCTTTAAGGACTAACCCCGCCCACTCCCCAGCCACTTCTGACCTCCTGGTCGCCATCCTAATTCTCTCTCTGTCCCCCGTCTCTTGGTGTGTACACACGTGTCTCTGTCTCTCCCTATGTTTTTCTCCATGTCTCTCTGTTTCCTTATTCTTTAAGTAATAAATATCTCCCTCTTCTCTAAGTAACAAATGTTTAACTTTGTGTATAGCCTTATGTCCATTTACTCTGTCGTCCACCGCATCCAGCTGCCTGACTCTGCTGCTTGCCCAGGGAACACTGCTCTGGCGGCAGCCTTTGCCTGGCTTGCAGGCCGCTTGGGGCATCCCCACCATATTATCTTTTTAAAGAACAATAGTATGTACATGGTTGGGTAAGCAAACTGCAACTTAAATGTCCCCACAAAGGGGATTTCAAGATTTCATTATCTACTTTTAAATAAACCAACTCTCTTAGCAAAGCCGTGGTGGCACACACTTTTAATCCCAGCACTCAGGAGGCAGAGGCAGGTGGATCGCTGAGTCTGAGGTCAGCATGGTCTTATAGAGCGAGTTACAAGACAGCCAGGGCTTAGAGAGCAACTCTGTCTCAAAAAACAAAAAAACAAAAAAAAAAACAAACAAACCAAACAAAAAAGATAACATAACACCAAACAAATAAAGCAGTGTTGAAGTTGGGCTTGAACTAAAGAGAACACTACTACTGTGTCCAGGCTCCACTCAGCAGGCAGTAAAAACAGTGGCTCTTCAATCAAACGTGATGGTGGGGACTTGGTCAAAAAGCTAAACTAATTCAAGACCATTGAAATAGGGTTCCATACCTGCTAAATGTGAAAAAAGTTGTCGGGATAAAAAATGGGTCACTTACAGCACCCCTAACCAAAGCATGATTAATAAGGTGCCATGAGAGATGGACAAGGCATTGAAACCGGGTTCATCTCTGTCTCAACCTTCTAACTGAAGGACCCAATCCAACGCGTGGTCTTTGGCTTCAGGTTACTTGGAATCAACAGAAGACTCGTTCACTTGCGGACCGTTGGGTGGGATGTGAGCATTTATGATTTTAAAAATAAGTTCCTAAGAGATGCTTTGGCTGTCTGGAAACGATCACAGTCTGAAGGGCAACAACAGAAGCAGGCAGAGAGGTCGGATACTCACTGGCTGGAAGGAAAAGACCAGTGTCCAGCCTTCATGTTAGAGGCAGACTCCTTGGCCTTGCATGTGGCCATGACACCGTCTGTAGGAAGGGCAGGATTAGCATAGGAATGCTATAAATGAGTCTGAGCAGGGTTGCTGGGAGCAGTGATGAGGAGCCCACTGAGCGGCCTAAGACCCACTACACTCTGTGACCCAGAGACACCTGAGTGCATCCGCTATGTGGATTTCCTGAGTTTATTTTCTGAGTTTATTTTCTTTTTACCTTCGCAGTAATGAGGTAATGGACCCATGGACTTGAACATGCTAAGCAAGCATCCTATCACTGAATAGTATCTTCAGCCTATTTATTTATTGTTTGGTGTTTTGACACAGTCTTTGTAGTCAGCTGGCCTAGGATTCATCCTGCTGTTCTTTCTTTCTTTCTTTCTTTCTTTCTTCCTTCCTTTCTTCCTTTTTCTTAAGCGGGGCATGGATTTATCTCGAGCCACTCAGTCTTGAGATAATATGCAACATAAAAATAAAACTACAAGAACCATGTTACCTCTGATCCTGTGTGGCCTTCTGAGAAGGTCTTGGAACTGAAAGGCTCCATGCTGGCTTGCAAATGTGGAGGAGCTGGGGGTGCATCTGAGGGAATGGGTGGTAAATGGATGGTGGGGGATCTCTGCCATCACTGTGGGGCAGGCTACCCCACTGCTTGTCACGGCTTTAATCAGCCATCCTATTCCAAGGTCAGGAGACAGAGGCTGAGCCAGAAGGTGGTTTGGATAAGCACATGGGTGGGCCGAAGTCACATGTTTCATCTCTGACCAGTACCACCTTCGATACTAGCACACGGGATGTAGGCATGGTGGAAGGATGCTCAGCACAGATGAGCCAGTGAGATGGTCAACATCATGTGGTCCATGTAAATGTGTAAATATACCACGTTTTCCTTAACCATTCTTCAGTTGAGGAGCATTTAGGTTGTTTCCAGGTTCTGGCTATGACAAACAATGCTGCTATGAACATAGTTGAGCACATGCCCTTGTGGCATGATTGAGCATCCTTTGGATATATACCCAAGAGTGGTATTGCTGGGTCTTGAGGAAGGTTCCTAATTTTCTGAGAAATCGCCATACTGTTATCCAAAGGGGCTGTACCAGCTTGGACTTCCACCAGCAATGCAGGAGTATTACCTTTACCCCACATCCTTTCCAGGATAAGTTGTCATCAGTGTTTTTGATCTTGGCCATTCTTTTTTTTTTTCTTTTTAAAGATTTATTTATTATGTATACAACATTCTGCCTCCATGTATGCCTGCATGCCAGAAGAGGGCACCAGATCTCATTACAGATGGTTGTAAGCTACTATGTGGTTGCTGGGAATTGAACTCAGGTCCTCTGGAAGCACAGTCAGTGCTCTTAACCACTGAGCTATCTCTCCAGCCCGATCTTGGCCATTCTTACAGGTGTAAGATGGAATTGGAATCTCAGAGTTGTTTTGATTTGCATTTCTCTGATGGCTAAGGATGTTGAACATTTCCTTAAGTGTCTTTCAGCCATTTTAGATTCCTCTCTTGAGAATTCTCTCTTTAGGTCTGTACTCCATTTTTTTTTATTGGATTATTTGTTCTTTTGATGACCAATTTCTCTTTTCTTCTTTCTTTCTTTCTTTCTTTCTTTCTTTCTTTCTTTCTTTCTCTCTTTCTTTCTTTTCTTTCCTTCTTTTTTTGAGACAGGGTTTTCCTATAGTTGTGGAGCCTGTCCTGGAACTAGCTCTTATAGACCAGGCTGGCCTCAAACTCACAGCGATCCACCTGCCTCTGCTAGGATTAAAGGCATGCACCACCACCGCCCGGCATGATGACCAATTTCTTGAGTTCTTTGTATGTTTTGGAGTTCAGCCCTCTGTCTGATGTGGGGCTGGTGAAGATATTTTGCTATTCTGTAGGCTGTGTTTTGTCTTGTTGACTGTGTCCTTTGCTTTAACAGAAGCTTTTCAGTTTCAGGAGATCTCATTTATTAATCATTTCTCTCAATGTCTGCGCTACTGTAACCCATGTCGTTTAATCTACGTTCTGTTATGTGGCTCTGTACAGCTACCTTTACTCCGTATACCCCATGCTGCTTCCTCTCCATCTGGCTGGCAACTCCACCTTCTTCCCAGCATTCTCTCTGCCCTGAAAAATCCTGCCTAACTACTGGCCATTTAGCTTGTCAATAAGCCAGTCACGGGAACATATCTGCACACAGTGTAAGGTGTAGCTGACTACAGATGGTCATGAATCTGGGGGCAAAGTGTGAAAGAGCTGGGTCCATTGTACACACCCTCACATCCTTATGGTGTGCCGATTCAATGTGACAACACTCCAGAAAACCTTTGTAGGTTGCTCCATTGCAAGTTAAACTGGGGGGCATCTGGTGAGTGAATTGGCACGAACGAAGTTATCCATCCCTCCGACACTTACAACTAATGAATAAGCACATACAAATGCAGGCTTACCTGCGGTTGTTCATCTAGAAGGACACATCTCTGGTGGCTTCCATGAACACCAAGCTGCTGGGAAGATGAATCAGAAAGTTACCTGGGTGTGGCGGTGCACATGCTTTTAATCCCAGCACCCAGGAAGCAGAGGCCAGTCGATCTCCTGTGAGTTTGAGGCCAGCCTGGTCTACATAAGCAAGCTACAGGAGGGCCAGGACTATATGGAGAGAAAAAAAAAAAGAAAAAGGAATTTGAAGTTAGACGTGGATGGACCTCTGCTCTGCCTTGATTGAGTTACTTTAGGTTTTGAGCCTCAGGTTTCTTTCCCACCTGTAAAGTGGTGCTAATATCTTACTCATTAGGGGCAACTGCATGAGACATAGATGAGTGTCTCTTATCTAGAACTAGAAGCATAGGCGTAGCTCAGACATCCCACACTTTGGGGGTTCTAGAATATTTCCATAGACCTTCTTAGCTGTGTGTCATTCACTTGAAAATCTGAAATCTAAACACTTCAAAACCCGAAACTTGCAGCGCGTCATGGTTCAAATACCCCAAACATTGCAGCAATGCGGACCAATCTGGCCTCTCAGCCTCCTTGTGGTTAAGGAAGGATCCTGACAAGCTTGCGTGGGGAGGAGGGGTGAGTGCTGCAGTTGGAGCAGGCAGGAGATAGCAGCTGCCTCCTGGTCAGCTGACCCACAAGGGCCTGCAGCAGGGCCTCTGTTCTCCTGAGGTCTGATGGCTTCCTGTACCTCAAATGCAGTGGCTGCAAAAATGGCACAGTGGGCAGCCACTGTCTTCCAGACAGTCCCAGGGCACAGCAGGTAGCATTAGCCAGTCAGTATCTTCCACCACCCTGTAGAGTGTGTGTGTTTTCTTTTCCTCCTCAGTTTCCCCTCCTATTCTGTCATTACAATTTTATTCTCAAAGCACAGCTCCTGACAGAAGACACTAGAGCTACGGCCCAAGGTCCAAACCTGGCCAGCGCCTGTTCAAGCGTGACCTTACAACCTAAGTAAGTTCCGGCCTTCATGACAGTGCTGTTTTGTACTTAGAAGTCGCTGGAAGCCCTCAGGACTTTGTGAGCTACAGACATCTCACTAAAGTCACACGCTGGTGTCACCCGCCTGCCGTGCAGTCTGCAGCCATTTTGTGTCACACAGACTATTTATGCTTCCCTCTTTTGTGAGAAAAATATCTGCTTGTCCCTGAGTTCCAGATATCCTGCCTTTCAGAGGCGTCTTTATTTCAGTTCTTACTCTCACCTCCAGCAACAGAGACCAAGGCTCCCCTATGAGCTTTCTCGGAGGGTCAAAGCTTCCTGGGGCCCTCTTTTGAGGAGAGCACACAGGGTCACAGGGTCCTGGCTTCTAGCTTCAGCTCCAGCTGACAAGCAACAGACTCTAAGCAAGTGCCACCGGGGATCTGCACTCCCGATTTTACAAAGGAAGACGGTAGCTAGGAAATGCTTTGAGACAGAAAGGCCGCTCTGATGGGAAGATTGGCCAGTTCTACTGCATTCTGCTAAAGGTCTACCTCCTCTCTCCAGTTTTCAGTTTGACAAATTGGAGACCTTTGCATTTGTGCAAGAGAAGCGGGAAGTGATTCTAAGGCTATTTCACCTGGCGACTTACATCGCTGGTTGTTTCCTCACACTCCAGTAAAGCTAGGCATGGCTCTGCGTCACCTCAGGGCAGCTAGCTGCCTTTCCCTGGTTATGACAGACACAGCACTACACACTATCTAAACCATCCTTGTAAATAAAGGCTCTGTGTTCCCCGCGCTGGTCTCCTTGAAAGTCTCAGGAGGGAGAATGTCAGTCACAAATGACAATGATCTACTTTACCAACAATCAGGAACTCTGGCATACAGGGGCCATTTCTAGAAACTACCATGTCTTTAACTCTGTGAGGGTTGCTTGTTTTTACGACCGTCGCAGCTTCTAGAAACCACAGCTTCCCGTGGCACCCAGTGCCCACAAGTCACCCGAGAAGACCAGGGCCCCGGGAAGACAACAATTGCATATTATCTGGACAGCAAGGCAAGTTGCAGTGTGAATGGCAACTGCGCCTCGCAGCAGTTTCAAAGCATGCAGCAAGCGGTGGCATTAGAAATGGCACTTTGTTCTGTTTCTGCTCTACGCACAGGGCACACCCGCTCCTAAAAACCCAAACCCACATCTGAGCCCACGCCATAGCTGTTGCAACAAATTGCATCACTTAGAGTTTTCATCGTTTATAATGACCTATATTGGCTGTGCAAACTGGCCGCCTGTGTCCGTTCAGAACCCCCTCCTGCTCCATCCCCTCACTCCGGGCCAGTATTCCACAGCTGCCCAGCAGGCTGGGATTCAATATCCATCAGCAGGATGCATGGAAGTCTTTTTCCTGAGGAGAGCTGGGTGGGTGGTGAGGACCGGTGTAGCTGAAGACGGAGTCATGCGTTGTTCTTTCACACGTCGGCTTCTTTACGCTGAAGGCCAGGTCTAGCTGACAGGTGTCATCAGGAGGGATCAATGGATGCGGTGACTGGACGGCAAGGAAGGCCTGGATGAGGTGAGGTGGCTGAAGGACTTTCCCGAGGGTACTAGGGAGAGAGCTGTCAGCTAGCTTCTATCCCCGGGTCCCACCTGCCTGTTCAAGCAAGGTCTGTGATAAGTATTTGGAAATCTTGGTAGTGGGTTTCTCCACTGACGCAATGAGACAGATCAGGCCCGAACTAAAAGTCCAGGTTTAATGAGCCAAGTATTCCCTGGTGATGGGGAGGTGGGGGTGGGGGGATAGAGAGGGACCCAGGGGAGGAGCCACTGCTTCATGGGTTTTCTGAGGGCCTGAGTTCGAGACCCCCCCAACTGTCTGGTTGGCCCTGATGAGGGCTGCAGGTGAGACCAGCTAGTACCCCATCACTGCCAGAATTTCTCTCGGGCTGCAGGTGAGACCAGCTAGTACCCCATCACTGCCAGAATTTCTATCGGGCTGCAGGTGAGACCAGCTAGTACCCCATCACTGCCAGAATTTCCAGCCCGGGCCAGAAAATGTATTTCGCCAAACCGTTCTCATTATTGATCCTTGCAGCTAAGTGTCTGAACTGGGGGGCTGAGGATCGCCCTTTTCCTCTGCTTCCTCTACCTGGTTACTCAGATTAAAATAAGTTTCTATTCCCTCCTCTGAAAAGGCCTGTAGTTTGACCCTGAAAAAGCATAGGCTTAGACTGGCTCCCTGAGTGAGACTAACATGGTCCCCTGAGCTGTTTGGAAGCTGATGACCTCCCAGGTCTGAGTTGTTTAGAGTCTGTTTCCCGCTTAGGCCAGTTAGTCAGAATGTGTGTCGTCTGACCAAACCCCTCAGAGAGGCTTGAGGGTGACAAAGCTTACGGTGTCTCCTAGTGGCACTGCTGTGGGACCAAGACCACCCTAAAACACATCCCCATTCCTGTTTTGATCCTGCTAAGGGGACTGTGCAGAGTGTTCTAGATAAGACAGTGTATGAAGCCACAGCACACAGGAGGGTCTCGGGGATGGAGGCTGACAGGGACGAACGTTCTGGAGTCTGGTTATAACGAACAACACAGAACAGACGGTATTTTCTGAGTTAGTTCATATCCAAGGACCTTTGTTGAACTGTATTTACTATAAGCTGTGGTCTTGGGATTAAATGTTAAAATGTTTTAAAAAAAATAAGGCAGCTCTGAGGGTGACTCTGGCCTCAGTTTCATACTTACTGTTCTAGATTTGGGGGTCTCAGTTCTAGAAACGTCTCAGTCTTCTCCCTACCCCATCTTTAAAGTGTGGTGACGGCTCTTAATGGATTGGCAGGATGGTTGCTGTTAGTACCACCCATGGTAGAATGAAAGACTAAGACAGAACCTTCACCCCCAGGAGCACCAGGCAGGCCTGAGAACTGAGTTGGCGAAGGGTTCCCCTCACCCCCACCGCTGTCGGCCTTACCTGCTCCTGCTGATGACTGGCGGGGTCTCCTTTTGTGCTGTCTTTCCGGTCAAAACCGAATGTTTCAGGAGAGTGCCTCCCGATCCTTTTGTGCTTGTTTCTAGAAACAACTGGCCCTGGGGCTAAAGGAACCTGATCTATTGATTCCCACACTGGGCAGCCCTAGACAAACAACTGTCATTCCCATGAAGCTGGCCAGTGTCCTCCCATGACCCAGCAGCTAGAGGAAACCGTAGGAGGGCTTTGTGAGCACTTGTCCCAGCCGGAGAGTAGTAACACAGGAGGGATGGGAAAGAACATCTTCTCCGGGATTGCTTTACTCTCGAAAGGGTGTGTGGGGAGTCGAGCAGGTAAAGGCAGTTTTTATATTTAAAAAACGTTCTGAAAATAATCCTTAGTGGCTGAAGAACACATACCTTCTGGGCCATTTCAGGCTCTTGGCTGAAAGCGGGCTGGGAGAGGTGAACCGCCTTTCCCACAATGCAGTGGAGCCCTGGTTGAGCCCTCTGAAGGCAGAAGCCAATCAGTCTCAAGTGTTCCCAGGTGACTCCAGGGCTCAGGGATATCGGGAAGCGCGTCTCAGGGGAGGGTTTGCTGTTGTAGGTCGGGGGAGAGGCTGAGCACACTCCCTCAGCTTTGGGTCTTTCCAGGTAAGACCCACTGAGTTCCTTAAGATCTGAATGACAGAGGCAAAGGCCCTGGGGAGCTCTGCCAGATTGGATCACTCCTCCGTTAAGTTCGAAGCCCTAGGGGGTAAGCCCACAGGGCTTAGGTCCAGTCTTGGCACTGTTCAGAGTCTCATTCAGGGGTCTCTTTCCATCCTTCGACAAAGAAGAACAAACTAAGGATGTCAGAGTAAGTCACTGAGGAAGGACTTGCCTGAGAGGACTCTTAAAGCCCTATGTGACAACAAACACTCCCAGGACTTACTGAGCCCAAGGGGTGGTGGCTCTGCAGACCTTAGTTCCTTACTGGGAAAGGACCAAAGGGAAAACTGGGAGAGAACAGAGCCTTCCTGGAGAAGGGCAGGTGTCCCACGTTTTAAAATAAAATTTTGTGATCTAAGGAAAATAGATTCATGGGAATAGATTCACACATAAAATATTTAGTGGTGTGCCTAATTCTTGTTTGTTCTGTAAGCAATGCATCACCTTTTACCAAACAGATTAGGGGACTCGGTGCTACTGGGACGGGGTTTTCCAGATGGTGCACGTCTGTGACTGTAAGGCATGTCCCCTGATCAGGGCACCATGGCCAGGCATCCCAGCAGCAAAGCTGCTCTTGGGCATCTGGGACAGGAGAGAGACAGATGGTAAAGCAGACCTCAGGCTCAGGTTTACTGACTTGCAGCTTGTTTGGAAGGCAAGCTGCCCAGGGCAGGCAGCAGTGTGAAGCCTGTGAAGGCGACGGGCATCAGAATCGCACAGGTACGGACCCAGACTCCCATACTGTGTGGCAGTTGGAAAGCTTACGATTTTGAGTCTTCTCTTCTGTCAGGGGCTACTGCCTCCCTTCCAGAGTCTGATTAGGTGTGGCTGCATATGAAACATTTAGTGGCGTGCTTAATTCAAATACTTAGAGTGGCAGATATTTTAGCTCATGGGAAACCTCTTCCCTAGCTTGCCTTAGTACCTAGGACTTGTTCAGGGCAACAGGTCAAATGAGGTTTCCATTTTCAGAAGTCAAGAGTGTCTATGTACTACTGACACCTAGTGGGTAGAAGGCAGGAAACACTGGTAAACCCTACACTGTACGGGAGAGTTCCTACTCCCTCCCTCCCTGACAAAGTAGCCAGCCTCTAACAGCAGTACCTATAAAGCCGAAACCTGGACCTAAAGAGAGAATTCGGGCTTTGACCAGTGCAGGAAGCGGAAGCAAACAGCCTCGTAAGTGTGGGCTCTGGCAGCATCTATAAACGGCATCAGCCACCAAAGGCCTTTCAGGATAATCCGCGGAAATTCAAGGGCACATTAAAGGTAGGAGACTCAAGACTGACTCCTTAGTGGATGAACTGAAGTAGCCTTTAGGTCACATGATGCTCTAGTTTGGCTATAAAACGTCCCTGAAGGTTTAGATATAAAATGTCCCTGAAGGTTTACGCATTGAAGGCTTGGCCTCCCGCTAGTTGTACTACTGAGGCAAAAGGACATGAAGACACTAACTTCAATGGGGATAAAACCATTCACTGGTGAGTTCATGGCTGAAAGGTCAAAGGTAAGGCGGGGAGGGGCGCATTTGGAGTGTGCCTTTGTAAGAGTACCATCTTTTCTGCAGTTCCTTTATCTCTACTTTCTCCCACTGATGAGGGGAGCCAATTTCCCTCACCTCATGCCATCTGCCAATGATATTCTGCTCCAACTCAGGGTCCTCACAGAACCAAGCAATGGAGATTTCTGGCCCTAAATCAAACACATCTTTCTTTCTACGTCACCTCAGGTAGTTTTAGAACATAATTTTATGTGTCTGGGTGCTTTGCGGGCATGTGTATCTACAGGCATGCTGTGTGCCTGTTGCTCTTAGAGGCCAGAGAGGGCATCACAGCTTCTGGAAATAGAATACAGGATGTCGTGAGCCCTAGTACCTAGATGTGGGTACTGGGAATTGAACTCGACTTCTGGAAGAACAGCCAGTGCTCTTAACCAATACATCATCTCTTCTGCCCCTACGGCAGGAACTTTGTCACAGAAACCAAAACTGCGTTTACACGGTGTGAAGAACAATGGAAACAGGAGGATGAAACAAGGAACAGTAGGGACTGAAATGCGCTGTCCAATGGGAAAATGGGCATCATCGCAGCGCAAGCCAATTCCTCACGTGCGAATTCCTCTCTGGGATGAGGAAAGCATGAAGTGGAAGCTTACACAGCACTGGAAAAAGACAACAAAGTCATCTGCCTAGGCCACAATCTGCTCATGTATATTTTAAAGATGAAGTGAAAAAAATACACATTCCACCAGTTTTGGCTGATTCTGACATTTCACTTTAATAACTAGTGAGTTTGCAAATTAACTCCTAAAAAAGATTTGGTCCCAAACCCTTCGTGGTCATTAATGTCTTGAGACTACAAATTAACTGTATCGTATTGAAGTATGTTGCTAATCTTTTGATTGATGTTTCTAAGAATTAAGAAAGTTAAGAATTAAAATGAAAAATACTTAGTTTAGCAATAAAGGAGACTGAAAGACCCCCAGGACCCTCCCCCAGAACCTGCAGCTGGCCTGCTCCCATGAGAACATCCTGTTTTGGTGGAAGACCCTCGAGACCCCCCAGGACCTGAAGCTGGCCTGTTCTCATGAGAACATCCCATTTGCTTAGGAGAACAGGATATCTATGGTTGGCACATGTGCCAAACTTAGAATGTTAGTGGGAAATTTCAGGGCCAAAATGAAACATCTAGGAAATAGCATGAACAAACAACATTGTCCATTGTCACTGTCTGATCTGTTTAAAATAACTATTGATCTTTATGCTCTGAAAACTGCCAATTACATAATTAATTTTGCCTATATAGCTTGCTGAAATTTTGCTCGGGGTGCCCAGTCTCCCCCTGGAGCCCTGAGTCACCCGATAGCGCTACCGAAATAAACCTCTTGCTGTTGCATCTGCTGGCCTGGATTAATGAGTCTGGGGACTTCCCTCATGGCCTTAGAAATTCTAGGGTCTTTATTTGGAGGTCCCACTGAGATTTGATGGACCCCAGCTCAATTAACCCAGCTCCCAGCAGGAGGTAAGTCCGGCCAGCACTGTCTATTGTCTTTGTCTGTTTGTCTGCTTTGTTTCTGTCATTATTGTAGTGCTGTGCAGCTTCTGAAATTGTACCTACATAGGGCCAGTATCTGTACTGGGGGATGCTCCAGTAATCTGTAAATCTGGGGGATGCTCCAGTAATCTGTAAGTCTGGAGGACACTCCAGTATCCGAAGGGGCTAAGAGTGACCAGGTCACTCCTCTAGTTCTCAGGAGGCACGACTTTTTGTCGCTCACCTCCATCTGAATCTGTAGTGCTGCACAGCTTCTGATTTTGAGTTTGGTTTTGGCTTTTCGTGGCTTTGTTTTTATGTCGTGTCTTTGTTTTTGTATATCTGTTTGTACTCGAGTCTAAATCTGGTACCGTGGGGGCAGTAAGTAACCACCTCTCTGACCCTAACTCTAACTTCAGAGAGAAGCTGCAGACCCAGCTATGGAAATCCGAAAGAAATGGTCTGCTTCCCGGAATGGCCCACTTTTAAAATGGACTGGTCACAGGGTGGGACATTCAATCTAGATACTATTTTGCAGGTTAAAGAAAAAGTCTTCCAGCCTGACCCTTATGGCCACCCGGACCAGGTTCCCTATATTGTTACCTGGGAGAGCTTGTCCAGAGAACCACCCCCCCTCCTACTCTGGGTCAAAGCATTTTGTTACAGAGCACGGTGCAGGCACCGTGGCTGGCTTCCTTCTGACTTTGATAACGGCAGTCTTCCCCTCCCCTGTCTCTTTTCCCGTGCAGGAGGGACAAAACAGAAAACCCTGCCTCCCTGACACCCAGTCTGGCCCCTCCACCTCCACCGTCACCATGGGCTAAAAGGCAGGCCTGGGGAAAGTTCGCCACGGGCTCCAGCTAAGTTCCCCGGTGAGGAGCCTCTGCTATCGGCTCGTCACTCCTCTTAGGCTATGTAATCCTGCCCACCTCTGCTCACAGCTAGTTCTCCTTGCTATAGCAGGTAGAGACTGGGGCCGAAGCATCCACGAGAGGGAAATGCTTGCCCCACTGAAGTCCCTGTGCTGAATGTGACATCCTCCCTTGCTCCAGCAGGGCTCCATTCTGACCTGGAGTCCATCAGCACCGTGCAGGAGGACTGGAGAGGAGGAGGGCTGCCTTAGACAGTCCAGGGTGCTCCCTCTCCCTATAGCCAATGCCAAGGTCTTTCCAGCTCCTACTGGCAGGTATGTCTTCAAGGGCCTGCCAGCCCTGATAGCATTTCTCTAGGGATGCTCTATTCCAGTCATCACGTGCTGTGTCCAGGGTAAATCTTCTGGTTTAAAAATTGAGGGGAATTAAGCTGAGTCACTTTAAAGAATGTGCTTATAGAAAAACTACAGATTGTTGGTTTCTATATTTCTTACTACACAGTA